TATATATATATCACTTGGAATATAATATTTTAAGATAAATTAATTTAAAAAAATTTATAAATTATTTAAAAAATTTAAATAAACATTTATTTTTTATTAAATTTAATATTTTTATATTTTTATTTTAAATTAAATAAGTTTTTATGAAGTCATTACTATTAATCAAAGTTGATGTGGCGTTGAATTGTCATAAGGTGAGTTTATCACATAATCACATGAATATACAATGTCACCCTCGACTATAACAAGTTAACATATTGCATAAGCACCACAAGATTATAAAATCACATTTATTATTTTGATTAACTATAATTAATCAACTATTAATTATAAGAATTTATTTCATTCAGAATAAACAAATAAGAACTTGATTAAACGTAATAAAAAATAAAAATTTATTTAAATTTTCTTCAATAGTTTGTAAATATTTTTAGATATTATGTCAAATTCTAATTACTATTCTATTATAATTCAAGAACGTAAAATTTATTATTATTTTAATTGTCAAAACAACTAAAACAAGAGCAACATGAAATTGAATGAAAGGTAGAGAAGGAACCTTTTTAAGTGCTAAGTCCACCTTAATTAGCACTGTTAAGCATAAAAGGTTTGATTAATTAAGATGGTTTTGAACAGAAATACAAATAATTAGGCGGTATTTACCCAAGTAACATAACCTACACATCATCTTAAGCTCACAATAAAGTCCAAGTGATGATGAGAGATCCCAATGACAATAAAATCAATGAAAATGCAACACATAACCCAATGACAGGATGAGGAATGCGACCCTTGCCCTTCCTCACTATCATCCCGTCGATAATTCCATAATTCATGACTATGATGTAAAACGAGAGGAAAACTTGTCCAAACATCTCCTTCCAATCTCCCACGACCATGGTTCTAACAACTCCCCCAGCAAATGAGGCCATGTTCACTAGTATTATCGTAACCAATGGAGCAAGAAAAAGGGTTGACGCTCTGAAATCAAATTTACCTTCCTGGTATAGCTTGATTTGTTCGTCGTCCGCGACTTTATTGGTGGTCAAGAAACTGGCTTCCCTCAGGCCAAGCTTTTTCAATATGGCATCCACGCTTCCATATAAATGGCATGTAACCGATTTTATCATCCATATCCTCTGTTCATTGACCCATTTACGAATTGGTCTTCCAGTTATGAGAACCTCATGTAAATGCTTTGAAAGGGCTGATACGAATATGAACAAGAATACACTAAAATATGGATCTGAAACCTGTGAGATAAAAGAAAGAAGGAACACATTAGCCCAGGGGAAGTCATTTGATGTAATGTCTTTTCTTTTGCTTTACACCTTACCTCCGGATACAAAGGAATGCCATGCAGCAGACAAATTTGAGGGATAGTGGCAAAGCACCAAAGAGGCAGGCAGTAAAGGACAGGGAACAGCGACAGCTCCGCATAGCACATGCTGTGCAGGAAAGATGTCCTTGGTGGTCCGTATAAGAGAGGGCAAAACCTTGAGATAGCTACATCAACCAACCCTGACCCCCATCTTATACCTTGAGTCAATAGGTCATTTAAGTTTGTGGTAGAAGTGCCTAGGAACTGGGGCCTTGATGGAGAAACATAAGCTGATATCCAACCCTTGCATTGTAAAGTAAACCCTGTGAGGTAATCTTCTGCTACTGCATCATACAGAAAACCTACCTGGATAACAAAGAAATTTTAATTTTGCCTCCTGTCAATGTTAACAATCATTGAATATAAATAAAGGATTATCATTTCTTCTTTGTGATCAGTGTAGCAATATACTTGCCTCTTTACCCCATTCTGTATTATCTTCATAGGAGCAAGAGGATAAAACTCTGGCCTCCTCCAGAAGCATGATTGAAAATTCCCCATCATTGTTGAAATTAGGCTTATAGTTTTGACGAAGGGATTTAATGAACTCATTGGAAGGGCCGAAGGAATTCTTAAGTTCTCTAAGGTCAAAACCTGTTAGTTTTGCAAAAGAAATATTCATTCAATGTTTCATGAATATAAATAGGGATAAAAAGAAAAGAATATAATGAAGCTAGATGTTTGACGAGCAAGCTAACCTTTTTGAATTGAATTGCCGCATAATGCCTCCCTTTTAATGTAAAAATTGGTGCCAGACAGGACTGGTCCTTTCAATCCATCCAAGCCAGGCCACATTATCTGCAATTGTTCAACATCAAATTGTCTTTAAGTTCAATCTAGATTTTGCTTCATTTAAGGCTTCGATGACAAAGCTCTAAACAAAACATCCAAAATTTCAACTCTCATACCGTGTACGCTGACCTGACCTCACTGTCATAGATATCATTTTTACTTATGTCATGGAATGTCTGAGGGAACTGAACAAATGCAAGAGAGGGAGACATCTGAGGATCAAAGTGGAAACACATTGCTTGCCTAGCCGAGGTCGGGTCATTGCAATACATATCACAGCCAAGCATCAGAATGTAAGGGGAGTTGCTCAACACTGCAGAGACCCTAAGCTGCAAGTTTAAGAACAAGTCATTCGGAAACATGTATATAGAAAGGGTGATGTCATATATATGTGTCGAGAGAAAGAGTAATACAAGGACATTGACGGCTCCAGCCTTGAAATGGTGGGAATGAGAAGTCCTTTTCTCACGAGAAACATAGACAAGGAGAGGCATCTTAATTTGGTCTTCCTGCAATCCCTCTTTGGAATGTTCCTGTATGACCTGCATAAATTTTGACAGCCTCTCATACCATTTGTGAACAACTTCTTCTCTTGGTATAATTATTCTTTCTTTAGACTTCCATTCTCTGGAAGAAAAAGTGCTACTGGTTACCCCCCCTGCAGCCTACCTAGATTTGAGTGCTCACTCTTGTCATTGGCATTGATCTACACTAAGGGGTTGATTTTAATCCCAGTCAAGCAAGAAGCCACCCCTTAAAGTTAAAGAGGGGAACTAACCATTTGGGCAGCCTTGATTGGATTTCATTACATGAGATTGAGGTGCAACACGTTGCAGCCACATCTTTCCTTAGGATTTCCTTATCTAGAGAGAATGATGCTCTTTTTTCTGCCATTTTCATTTTGTGCTTGAAGTCTTTAGTCATTAAAGCCACTCATGCTATAGCATATGTACAGGTGGAACAAAGATACCTCAATGCAAGAAGGGTGATCGCGAGCAGTGTGGACACCTCTGCCAATGATTTACTATCTTCTCCAGATCTCATTACACGTTCCTTGAACAATTCATATTGTTCCTGCACCAAAAATCACTTGAATCAACCATCATTTTCGTGGCAGATAATACAATAGGCTTTTCAAAAAGGAGGCCCCAAGTTCAAATTTAGTTGTAAAAGTAGAAGCCATGAGCTGTTAGCAAACCTTAATTTTTTGCCTTTCTGCCATGAACTCGGAACTTTTGGAGTCAGCATGGTCATTCTCAGCTCTTGAATTTAAATAAGCCTCAGGGCACCTTGTCTTGATATCATACCTCCTGCAAAATGGAAGCCACCACCTGGCAAATTTCCATGCCTCCCTCATACCACGTAAAGTTGTAGGATAACCACCATCATCCGAAAGATACACGTGGAGCTTATCTGGTGGATAATCAAGAGCCATAGCTGATAACAAAGTATTCATAACCCCAACCGTGGGCTCCTTATCTGGATTCGTGGTGCAAATAAAAACATCAATGGCTGGAAGGTTGTCATCATTTGGCAACCTCTCGGGAAATACAGTCCGAGAAACAGGACGCCAAGCATAAGCTCTTCCAAGGAGCCATATGAAAGAAAGAAGCAACTCGGAAGCAAAAACTACAAGCCATGGTATAATGGGCGTGGTTCTGGTTCTAGATTCTTGGAAAAGAAAAGAAACCCTGTAGTATATCAAGAAAGCTATGGCGATTGAATGGAGGAGTGCGTGGGATCTGTTGATGATCATTGTGAACTTGTGGACATGGCAGAGATGGAGAGGAAGAGAGCTTAAGCTCGCCATGGCTTTTCTCAGCTCCCTTTGCTCCTCCAGTTGATCTGCTTGTTGTCAGTTCAATAGTGAAATTATCACCTTCCCTTCGAATATATATATAACTACTCAAAGGTGAGACATGCGTGGTGAGAAAGTCACGAAAGAGAAAAGCAATAAAGATATTTCTTGCAAACGTTTCTTAGGAGACTTCATTAAAAGTATCAGGAACAGAGAGCGATACTGATAGCGTTACCAGTCAATAACTTAGTAAATTTTGGCGGCCTCCTAAGTTGACTAGATATTGACATGAAGAAAATTCATTTGTTTTAAGTAAATATATCAATCCTTCGAAAATTCTAAGCTCTATCTTTACAAGTTTATATTGGAAAGGTAATTTTCCAAATAAAGTTGACAAGATACTTACAAGTTTTTACAAGATGGAGGACTCTTGCGATTATTGCAGTCACGCCAAGAATGAAAAGTAAAAGACCTCGTGTTGTCTATGGGCTAGCAGAAGGAAGTTGCCAAGCCTGGATTATGATAGGCAGAAGTCGTATAATATCATATATCAGCTCAATTGGTGAATATATGAAATTTTAAGGAGAAATTTCTAGCCCGCCTTTCACTGTTATATTTCTTGTTGGTCGATTGGGGTAGCTCGGCACCCAAGTCCCATCAAATCCAGTTTTGACCAACCTATCAAACTTTCTGTTGTAGTCAACGGGCCTTTTTCTCTACGAAGTGTATAATTTACATATAGGGGAATAGTATCAAATTTCTTGAACTGTAAATATACCAGAAAAAATATGAAATGGGATCAAAGTTCTCAGAATACAAATATATTGACAATCAATATTACAAAATATTATAATCCATACATATACATAATGTGCTCCCTTTACTGTATATTTGATCTCAGGGTCATGAAATGACATACATGTTTCAAGGATTGCAACACTAAATCTCCACTAGGTTAAATTTTACAATTTTTGATGGATGTTGAGTAGCCTTTTATTTTTGGCAGAGGTTTCATTCAGAACCTATAATTTCCCAGAATTCACTGTAGTAACAACCTGTCTGTTAGCACATTTCCAGGTTGAAAGAAAAGCAGTTACCCAAATCATCTAGTCATTAGCTCTATATACTCAGTGGCTTCATAATGTAATGTGCAGTCCGACGGAGAATTCTGAGACAATTTCATCAGGGGCCTATCTTCTAAAAGTCAGGAACAGAGCCACATAACGCTCACAAGTACTCTGATAAATAACAAAATACAAACAAAGAGAACTTGTAAGAATATATGACAAACGCAAAATAAATCATTAAATCATTTCTAAAGTAACCAGCAGATGCAATTACTAAAATAAACAATGCATACATGCCACTCTCGAGAAGAAATACCAGTGAATGAAGCAGCAAACATAAAGGAATGCTAAGGATTTTCATCCAATTTTGTTGCCATTGTGGAAAGGTTCAGCTGATTACAAGTCCAATAATAACTTTAAAATACTAAAGATTGTCAAGGAATACGTTGAGGAAGCCTTGGGATTTCCTTTCTTTATAAAGGAAGCCATGGGGTGGCATATATCACCACGCCTAGTACTAGACATAAAGAACTTCATTATGGCATATGATATCGTATAGACAGTTCCAATTTTCTCTTAGAAGCCATAATCCATTCATTCAGAGAGAACTTACCAAACACCAAGCTCTAAAATCAGTATTCCTCAAAAATAGATGCGACTTAAGCAACACATATCCTAAAGAACAAAATGACTTTGATTCACACAAACACTTAATAAGAACACAGACAATTCAAGCATTAATACTCACTAGCTACTTGGCATACATCAAGGTAGCTACATTTGACAGTTTTTAAAAGTAAAATGGCAAAGGCAACAGCATTCCTTAGAGGCCACAGAATATCACAGTTTCATGGCTGCAGGAAGATTGGTTGGAAATCGCCATAAAGCAATCATCTTGATTCTTGATATGAAGAGTAATGTGACAAAATCAATGTCATCAAACTAAATATAAAGATATGCAATCATTGTGTAGACAAACTGCCAGCTTACTTGCCAAAAGTTTCCCATTATCACACTATCTAATCAAATCATCAGGACAATATTTCTGTTTGTTTACTAAGGCTCTGCTCTAGGAACACACAACCCACATTTCTGTCAGAATCATCTCAAAGTTTCTGACACTGAGAAATGCATGAAGCAGAAATATATACATTCAAAACCATACTGAAAAAATATATATCAGCAAAAAATTCAAACTTCAACAGTAAAAAAATTAAGCACATTTTGCTTAAGTCACTAATCACCACAAAGCAAAGTGCTTGATACCTACCTTTACCCCACAGCAACTTTACCCTTCTCCTTCTTCTGCTCCGCCATGTACTCCCGAACCCTTTCAGCTTTCTTCCTCATACCCTCAATCATCTGCTCTGTTGCCTCGATTATCTGCTTAGGAAAATGAACCTCCAAGTAATCAAACCACTCCCCTAATGTCATCTTCTCCAAATCCACCTCCACCCTTCCATCACAACCCTCCTTAACCTCATTCTTCAAATCTTCCACTTTCTCTTCATCTTTTCTTACATTAATTCCATCTTTTTCCCTCAAGTTTGGTTCTTTTTCCTCTAAATTCTCTTCCTGCTGATTCTTTTTCCTCCCCCTAGTGCGGCCTCTCCCTTTTTTCACCTCAATTTCCTGGTTTTCCGGAACTCTCCTTAATGTCCTCTTCTCCAAATTCGCATCTATCCCTTCATCACAACTCTCCTTAACCCCATTCTTCGAATCCTCCACTTTCTCTTCATCTTTTCCTACATTAATATCCTTGTTTTGCAACGAGCTCGACTCCTCTTCTTCATCCACGCCATCTTTTATGTGAAAAGTTCCATCGTTTGCTATCAAGTTTGTTTCTTTTTCATCTAATTTTTCTTCCTGCTGATTCTTTTTCCTCCCCCGGAGGTGGCCTCTCCCTTTTTTCGGCTCAGTTTCTCGCTTTTCCGGAACCTTCTGGATAACTAACCCGCAATTCACAGAATCTTCATTCTTCTTATTCCTCGCAGCCCTAACATTTTCTTTCTTTTCTAAATTATCCAATGCTTTATTAAAACTCTCCGTTTCGCTCTTCAAAGCCTTACCTCTCCTTGGCGGGTTCCTTCTCCGGCTCTCCGCCACCTCCTCTCCCCTGCCGTCAATCTTGATCAGGATCGACGTAGTCTCTCCCAGCTTCAACGTATCGCCGTCGTGGAGATCAAATGGAGTTTCGGCTGGAAGCACAATGGAATTAAGAGCCGTGCCGTTAGAGGATCCGAGATCTCGGAGGATCCATTTTCCCGATTCAGATTCAATTGTGAGGTGCTTCGAAGAAACGCCGGCGTCTTTGATTGGGACGTTGTTGCCGCGCATTATCCGCCCGATCCGGATGGTGGATCCGGGTGGGAATCCGATTGTTTCCCCTTGACGTGGGCCCTGAACTATTATTAGAGTAATCGGCGGTGGATCCATTTTCGGGCTCCGGCAAGAGCAAGTGAGAGTGCGAAGCAAAAGTGTTTTGAAAGAATTTGAATCGGGTTTTTTCTTTTGGCCGTATAATTTGAATTGGGTTTAGGCGGTCTATATTTTTTAATTTCCTTTTATCTTCTCCCCAAGTTAACCGGTTTGGGTGTGGACCCGGTCGAGGCACTGGTTAAAGTGTAAATAACTTCTAGGATTAAAAAATTAACTTAATATATACATGATTAAAAAAATAAATTAGATTGTTCATATCCATAACTAAATTAATTTAAATTGTAAAATTCAATAATATTTTGAAAATATAATAAAATTATGATTTAATATAAAATTATGAAAACAGACATATCTGCTTAGGAATCTCCCTTGCCCCTAAGTTCTCACTGCTCCTTTTTGCTCTTTTTCAGTAATCCTTCAATCATGGGATAGCTAAGAACCATGATGAACAAGGAGAGAAAAATCTTACCAAACATCTCGCCATAATTCTTTCTGATGATAACTCCCCTTATTCGAGCAATGAAGCATTCCATGTTCAATATGACCAGGACTGACAATGGAACCGTGAACATTGTAGCCCCCTGGAAATCGAACTCACCCTTTTCGTATTTTTCGAGCTTTTCTTTGTCCACTGCCTTATGTGTTAGCCTGGAAGTGGTTTTCTTCACTCCCAACCGTTTCATTGAAAGGTCTAGGCATCCAAATAGGCTACCAGAAACTGACTTTATCACCCAAATTCTCTGTTAATTCCAACATGTCCATATTTTGCCTCCATCAGATAAAACCTCCTGTAGCTGCTGTCCTAGTGCAGATAGATAAACAGTCGAAAAGACAGCAGACAACAACAATATGACATGTTAAAACTCTTCTTGGTAATTCATTGCAGCAGATAATGGCAAGAAAAGATATGCCAAATGCCAGAAGACAGATTGATTGGGGACTTTACCTTGGGTTACAAGGGAATGCCTTTCAAGAAACACAATTGGGAACTATGCCATATATCAGGAAAGCAATGGCAAAAGGGGGTTGAAATATAAAATATCCGTAGCACATGCTTTGAAGAATGGACAGCCTTGAGACGCCATACGAGAGAGGACTGAATCCTGAAAACCGATTTGCAACAACCCAGAGCCCCATTTCACAAGTAGAACTATGGCATCCTTCATGTCACTAGTGGTGCAACCCAGAAAACATGGCCTGGTTGGACAAAGATAAACCGAAGTCCACCCTCTGCAGTGCAGAAGGTACCCTGTAAATGCGCTCTCTAACAGACTTTCATAGGAGAAACCTATCTGTACCCAACAATCATTTCTTTAGGCTTCATTTATTTGATCCAAAAAATCAAGCTCTAAAAAGATAAATTATACTCCGTGACGGTAAGATACTTGCCTCTTCACCCCATTTTGTGTTTCTTTCATAGTCACAGGAGGCCAAAAGTTCGCTTCTTTTAAGATATCATCTGATGGACCTTCAAATCTGGCAATTTCTTGTTCACTGCTAAATTTTCTGCGAATCTGTGAACTTGCTAGACATACCAAAACTGCTTTGAGGCTCAAAGAGATGCCTGTCTAGCAAAAAAAATAAAACCTTTAATAATAAACTATATGTTTACGAACGTTGCAGGATAGCCTAAGCAACTGGAAAACAGATATTGCATGATACCTTCAAGATTAGGACTTCCATATGATGCATTCCTCTTTAGGGAAAAGCCGGTACCTGAAAGTGATGGCCCTCTTATCCCATCCATTCCTTGCCATTTTATCTGAGTCATTAGATACAAAATTTGACAAAGTTGTTACGAAAATAGAAAATGTTACTACTAATAAATATTGACTACAAAGAAGTGCTGTCTTCGGTTTAACACAGAGGCAAAGAATGGTAGCCTGTAAGCTGATCGGGCTTGATTATCATATATGTCATTCTTGCTGATATTATAGAACATCTGTGGGAATTGAACGAAAGCTAAAGATGGAGACATTTCTGGATCGAGATGAAAGCACATTGCTTGTTTAGGAGAAGTAGGATCATTGCAGTACATGTCACAGTCCAATACCAAGAGGCAGGGGCCATTGCTAAATTTTTCTGAAACTCGAAGCTGCAATACAAGCGCCAGTTAGCACTTAGCAATCAAGCACACGGGAGTGCCAAGGATACAAAGAGCTACTACTTACAAGCGCATTGAGAGCTCCAGCTTTGAAACGATGAGGTTTAGAAGGTCTTCTTTCACGAGAGACATAAACAAGGAGAGGCATTTTAGTTCTGTCTTCATCCTTCATATCAGTATCACCATGTATAATCTACAACAAGATAGCAATCAACCAAGATATAATATAACAAGCATCTAAAAGCTTTATCTGTTGCGAAGTGCATCGCAGCCGAAGTAGCTTTGCCATCATATATTTTTGGTTCCTTTTATCAGTTTTTTTTCTTTTCTTTTCTATGTTGTCTTTTTGTTTTCCTGATTGAGTTGCCTTAATATCAACCAAAAGCTGTCAAGACATTCCATTAAGGCATCTCTGATCCTAGTCAAATGCTTTTAAGAATATTAGAAGATTCATTGGCGTTTATATCACAATATGAATGGTTTTTTATCACTAACGTGCTCACCCTTGGTGGATTATTCAGTGAAATTAGAAATCCGGCTGGTACAATCATTTGCATACCTCAAACGTGAGCAGGCCGATCCTGTACAGCATATATGCATGCTTCTTCGCAAACTTTCTCAACATTTCTCTTGAACAATCTGTATTTCATCTGCAGTGATGATCATGGAGTAATGTCAAGAAATGAAACAAAGGATTCTGACAAGATGTGGAAGAGGAAGGTCCAAGCAGAATTGAGACGATGAGTAATCAAGGTCCAAGGAAAACATGAAACAATAAAATATTGATTGGGATATAGGAGAAACAGAAGAGGCTAGTTGAACCAATTAATAGCACTAACTTCAAGTTCCTCATTCTCTGTACTAAATTCATCAGTCGTAGGAAGCTGTTCATACTTTGCTAACGAGGAAAAGAGTACCTCGGGGCACCTTGTCTTGATTCCATACTTCTTACAAAATGGAAGCCAACACGTAGCAAACCTAAAAGCTTCTTTTAGAGCATACAAGGTAATATAAGAACCCCCATCATCCGAAAGATACACAGCTAACTTCTCCGGAGGTTAATCAAGTGCTAAGGCTGATAACACTGTGTTCATAGCCTCCACAGTAGGCTCCTTTTGCGGGTCAGCTGTGCATACAAACACATCAAGCCCTGCAAATCCATGTCAGCAGGAATTTCGTCCACAGAGACCCTACGAGACAGAGGCTGCCAGCGAAAGGCCAGCGTAAGCCCCGAAATGAGGGTGAAAATGAGCTCAGACAGGGTCATGAGAGCCCATGCTAAAGCTGGCAAGTTATTTCCATCAAAGAAATGTGAGACCGGGTAGTAAAGCAACAACAGTGTGGCCGTGATGTGGAAGAGAATGTGAAGCCTGTTAACGATGGTACTACGTTTCTGAGTGGTACAACTGTGAAGGATCTTAGAGGAAGCCATATCTGTTTTTCCCTAGTTACATGCAATCAATGGTTTCACCATGAGCTTGACAAAGCAGCAGCTTCCCTTTTACAGACCAGCACTGCCAATTTCATCTTCCGATAAAACAACTCAGAAAAGGTAATCTGGTTATCTTACGAGTAGTACTACCTCAAACATGAGAACAAAGTTTTTAGTCCAACGTGTGTGCTTGGAAGTATTCTGATTACGGTTGTATTTGGACCCTAATACCAGCCACACAAATCGACTTAAAGGTTCTATGCTCTAACATTGCCAATCAATTATTGCTCTTGCACCTAAACTTTATTATTATTATTTTTTATTTTGTGCATATGGATAAAATTGGCCGAAGTTTAAGAGAAGTAACTAAGCAAAGTAATCAAATGGCTATTAGCAATTTTTCCAAAAAAGATTATGCTGTCTTGATTGAGTAGAAATATAGAAATACAGTAATAAACTATCTTTTCTCTATCAAAGCGGTCACAATCTATCAACCACGCCATACTCTCCTAACCAAAGATTCGAAAGTCAAACAACGAACCCATTACTTAATCCTTTAAGCTTGTCATTTTGGGGAGTAACTTAAGCGTCTTGGAGTTGATTGATTAAATCTGTCCCATACTTCTTGTATGTCCTTTTCTGCTTCGTTTTCATTCATTGCCGAAACCCTTTAACAACCTGGAAAGTCCCCATCAATAAACTAATAAACAAATTTTCGTGTTGGATAATTAAATATTGCTTAGACATGGCAGAACCGCAACTCCTGCCCTGTCATAAAGCCAGATGGTATTCTTGCTGCTGGGAATTACGCCTTGGTAATTTAAACCCTCCAAACATACCTGCTGAACCCTTTTTTAGGTAGTGAGAGTCGATGTGCCATTGCTTCTGCCATCTCCACCCAATTCCTACAGATTGAGGGCTGCATTTTCTTTTCTGTTTGCTTTGCTGTGAGACATGCCAAGTGCAGATGCTTGTCCCATGAGGATGACCATCTTTCCCAGCTGCTTATGCAGATGTAAACAATATTATTACAGAAAATATCTCAAGCTAAAACTTCATACCCTGCATGCAAGACGATCACCAACTACCAACATTGCAAAAGGTACCCTTTTCTCATTAGGCATCTATGAAGGTAAAACGCAGCTTCTTTGCTGGGTGCCTAATAGTCAAAATGCAGTATTTACAATTCTATCCACCGATGGACGTCGGATGGAGAGAGGATTAACAAAAAATAAAACTTGGTAAAAACTTTAGAGCAAAATTTGAGATGTCTAAGGTACAAAACTTTTGTCTGCAAAATCCAATGCAGTCAGCCCCTTCTGATATGAATGCTACTGCCTCCACCACTGTCTGCAAGAAAAATGAAAAAGTATATAAAAGGATGAGAACTTCTAAGAATGCAGATGAGAGAAGGAAAGAGCATCTTCATAAGGTAAGAAATATGATAGCAGATGAATACTATCTGCTGGCAATGTGGAGTGATGCTTGTAGAGCTAACTCTGTCAAATACAATTTAAACAATAATTTACATAAAAGCGAAATGCCAAAACAAAGCTTACTCTATATGGCAAACAACATCGGTAGGATTATGCAGGCAAGACAGGGCCCAAGCTGTGATTACATCCCTGAGCAGCAAAATAATTTTGTTATTGATGAAATTCATATTTGTAATTCACTACAAAATGGAAAAATTACATGTCTAACCACTCTTTTACTTTAATATGCATCACCATACTCTATTGTATAATCTCATGAATGGAGCCTGTTTGGAAACACACGACAAACTGGAAATTTTTACCAATATAACTACGTGGTACTTATTTATGTATATGTTTAATATAAAAAAAAAATTTCTGCATAAGCCTTGCTACACTGATTTCATCACTAAGTTGCAAATGCAATGCACAAGGCCTAGTTTTAAACCGTCTTAATCTAATCTAAGCCTTTTTATAAGCAATAGTAACTAATCATGCATACTAACCTTCGGCAGAAATACTCATTTTGGCTTAGATAATGCGAGGTGTTCTACAAACTTCCAAGAAGGCCTCACACCATCTGATAATGGTGTCCCAAATTCTACGATGCGCCTCAGCCATTTAATCCTACAGATCAATTCCTCCAAATCCAAAATTGCAGCTTCTATTGTATCAGAGAATTCTGAATTTAAGCAAATGCTTTTATCAATTTTCATCTCCCTTGAAGATCCACTGTCATCATATTTGTCCATTTGAACTGCATTGCCAGGCATTTGTGCTGAGGCATCTTGAACATGCAAACTTGAAACACTATCTGAGGAACTGATTTTTCTAGGGCCATGATCCACTATATTGAGGCCTATCTTTGACTGTTTTTCTTCCAAAGATTTCACCGCCAAGTGCTCTGGTTTGTCTGGAAGAGTTAAAACACCAGTTGAAATATGAGAAGATAAAGAACCCTCATGCTCAATTCGTGCTCCAACTGTTGGTTGAACATCCTTTTTCCCCTCAATGACAGTGTAATCTATCAGGTTCGAGGAACCCCCTGCAACCACCACTTCCCATGTCAGGTAAGTCACCTTGCTAAGCAAGTAACTACCTAAGCAATAAGAAAGGTTGCAGAACATCAAAGATAAAGTTGAAAGACAGTATTAAAACACTATCAGATTGATAAGCCATAGGATGAAGGGAAAGGGTGAGCAAACAAAATTAAGAGATGAGGCTAGTGTATTAACAGCCACAAAGAACAACTTCTACACTTAATGCCTATTAGACCTGGTTTTTTTTTTCAGCTTATTTACCTTTTAAAAGCAAAAGTCAGACCAAGCATGATTTTTGAGTAGCTTTAAAAGAAAAAAAAAAACAGCTTCTTTTAAAAAAACAAAATTTTTAAAAAAGAGCTTAAAGAAAAGCTCCAAAGAGGAGCTTTCTCTTCTCTTCTTTTAAAACCACATCAATTTTTCAAAAAATACCCCTCTCTCAATCAGTATCCCTCTCCTCTCCTTCCCTATGCAAATTACCATTTTTCAACATAAATCACAATCTCCCTCTCCTCTACCTCTCTCTACAAAAACTACTAAAAAAAACAAAAAAAACCCAACAATAGAATATCAAAATCTAGAATTTTTTTGTTCTTACAAAAATTAGAAGAAAAAAAATATAAAATTCAAAACTACATTCAGATACTATTTAAAGGTTTTCTCTCTTTTTCACCAAAAAAGATTTTAATGTTAAATACATGGTTTCCTCTTTTTCTTTTTTTTTTGAGAATTGAAGCATCATGGTCCGATTGCTTGCTAAAGCAACAAAAATCTAATACTATTGCTACTATATAAGTTTGAGAGTTGTTCTGTTTCTTTATTGATTTTTTTAATTTTAACATATGAAATTATATATAAACTTGAAACGTTACGTTATAATTTGTTAGGTGATTTAAGATGACATGAATACCTTTTATGGTAATTTTAACCAAAATTAGAGCTTATGTAATTTATTTTGTTAAATAGTTTACCAAACAGCTTTAGCTTAACTCTAAAAGTTAAGTTTTTTTTTAAAAAAAGCTAGGCCAAATAGGCTCTTAGCTTGTTATGAGTGCACTACAGCCAAGCAAGAAAACTGGAAGCTTTTTATGTAAAAGTAACATACTTAAACAACCAACTTGGACCAAAAAACCAACAAGAGATCAAAGGTGAAAGATCAAAGAAAGCAAATACCAAACTCATGCTACAAAGTGCAAATATGCACTTATACATATAGGTTTATTACAAAACAGCTAAAGTACAAGAAACAGCAAAATCCTTCATCTAAGCAATGCCTTAAGAAGTTCCACAAAGAAGACCATTGAAATTTGAAGTCACACAGGTTTCCTATGCCTCATTGACCTGAATTTAGGTTTCCTAACTACCCCCTGAAGTACAGAAACTGCAAGTTATCAGCTACAACATGTTCTGACCTAGTTGGGATAAGCTTACTCAAAATGTGACTAGCCAAAAGTTTAAAACAGATAAATAAAAAGGAAAACACACCATTCTTTCTATGCATACACATTATCAAAAGTCAAAACCCTGAGCATCGAAAAGAATGTTTAGAAGCATTCTTACCTTGATTAAGAGGCTTGACTATCCGAGCACAACAAAGATGATATTTACTCTCCTATAACAACAATGAAATTTGAGAAAATAAATAAGCATTTGAGCGAACAAGAAACACCTCCATGCTCAAACCTCACAGGATAAAGTATGTTCACAGATGACAAGCATATTTTGCACCAAAGAACTGCTTTTTAAATTCCAAATACTAAGAGCAATTATTTGTCAAAATTAAAGAAACTTCACAGCAAGAATACTGAAGGTCATGTGTTAAACTACGGAGACAAAATAGGTGAGAGTTCCATACAAATCTATACATGAGCCCAAGCTCTCTAACTCTGTTTTCATGTTGTTTCCACAACAAGTTTTTATGCCTTCTCACAATAATGGACATTGGGTGTTGAAAAAAACATACAAATACTAAGACAGATAAAAACCAAGATTAGATCAGATAAAAATGCAAGGGAGGAAAGCAAGAGTGTGAGGCAGCTACCTTGGGAATAAGCAACTTCCAGCCCTCATCCACGGACCAATCCAATGATGGGCGTAAGTCCTTGCAAAAAACCTCATATGAAGACCCTTCACCCACAGGAGGAGGTGGCAACTCAATCTATGCGAACAAGTAGCAAATGATAAAAGCAAAAACATTAGAACAAAAACAACCATAATAAGTAATTTTCATCGAGAAAAATGTTTAAAGTTCAAACTGAGAAAGAGGGTAACATACTAAGTAAACTGTTTATCCTATAGCTAGATGCTAACATACTATAGCTAGGTGGGAACCATATAAAATTGCATTATTTTCTCAAAAACAATACAAACTGATTCGCGTAAAAAATTGATATTCCATACTAGAAAATTGTTGACTAGAGACTTAAACCACCTATCCCAACCTGAGAGGATGTTTGAACTTGAGACATAAGGAGAGGTGCGACTACCAAATAGGATAGAAGCGAAAAGTGGGCATTGAAATATCTTATAGAAGGACATACAACCATAATTGTAGCATAGTTAATATAATATGAGCTTACAATTACCCAGAGACAATGCAAAAGCCCTTTGCAGACTATCGAAATGAAATGCAAGAAAAAAGCTATATTCAAAAATCCAAACTACTAGAAACATCAATGCATAGGTCAATAGATATCACCTTAACCTTCTCTTCCCCCAGTTTTTCAGTTATCCTTCCAGACCAAAAGCAATTATCAGTCCACCAATCTACCAAATCACCAACCTTCCATACATCATTGACAATGACAACCACCTCTGAGATGGTATTCACATCAGGCATTTGACTTTCACGATAAACAGAAGGGTAGGAAGGGCGAACCATCAATGTTTGCTTCCCATACTTTGAAGTACTACCCTTTTGATATAACTTTGTCCAGTGTATTTCTGTAAAAGAGAATAGATTAATTAAAACACTAAAATTTCTCTCAATAAACAGCAATACAAATATTAATTTCTCATTCAATAAGGCCATATCTATCAAATTGTCATTTTATAATGCTTATAAAGTACACCGGTCATGCAGCAACCGTAACTCAGCAATCACAATTTTATTCTAAGAAAGCATAAGCAGTATTTAATTAAAAATCATACTGAAGCATATGATAAACATTGAAGTTAAATTACACAAGCTTGGCAAAGCTATCATTATTAATTTACAAAGCATACACAAACCACCATTCTACCTATGAAATGCAGGGTGCAAAATCTGTCACACATTTTAAAACTAACAATAGCCTAGCCAGATAGAGAGACAACTTACTTTCATCTGGATAATCAATATATTCCAAGGCCTGCCACAGTTCCTTGTTCCTCCAACTAAATTGCTTAATCTGATGGAAAACACATAAGGCAGTTCAGGGGCCTTATGAATGACTCAAATTAAGAAGGAATGACTAAAAAAGAAGCAACCTTCCAAGTGTAAACAAGAAATACAATCTTAATTGACTCCACAACAATGTTATTTCTGAAACTATACATGAAAAGATGGCATACAACACAGTTTCTAAAAGGAGATTCCTTTATTGTATTCCACAGGGCTACAGTTCTTATCAAAGAGAAAGAAGGAAAGATCTGTGCAAACAGGAAGCAAATCCAAGGACCTTTTATAGAGATATTACAATTTACAAATATATATATGTAGTGAGAGAGAGAGAGAGAGTAAAAACAATTAGATTGGAGTTCAAAATATTTTTTATATGACTTTTTGCATATTTCTCCTATTTAATTAAGATTTAGAAAAACTTTTCACTATGCATATTTAGGAATCTAGTAATGACAACCCATCTACTCCCCCCCCTTTTGTTTTAATACACAAAACACAAGGTGTTAAATAAAATTCTAGAGACCATAAAGTATGAAATTACTTTCAAACAAACCGAGAGGGCGGAAAGTTTACTCTCTGTTCTTTTTCTTTTTTGGAAAATGCACAATTTGGCCATCAAACTTTTTCGAAATAGGCCAATACGCACCAAACTAGAAGTTCGCTGGCTTGATTTCACAAAATAATAATTCCATGGCTAAAAGTAACATTTCGAAAAAATTTGATGGCCAAAATCTATATCACCCCTTTTACTACCGATGAGTCTTTCCCTCTCTATTTAATGATCAAGTCTAGGCATATTTACCACATATTTTAATCCAATGTGAGTTTCACATTAAAAACTAAACAAAACATACTAAATATGACTATGTACACAAGAACTTATACAAGAAACCAAGACTTGGATATAATAGAAAAAGTATTAGAAAGAAAACACATGGAAAAGAAGTATAGGTCAAAACATAAAAGAAAAATGCAGAATATGTGACATAACTCAAGAAAAAAATTTGTCTCAAATTAAACGAGGAACTTAATTTAGAAGTGAAATATGGATTAGCCCAAAGAGGACAAGCAATTGATAGTGCCACATTCGATTGATCCTTGATACTCAAACTTGACACCACATTTTACTATCAAACGAGTATTAAATATGAAGATGAGATTGTAAACTTTTTAAATAATCATACCCCTTGTCTAAAAGTACTAAGCCGCCATCATTAATCATTATCCAAGTGGACAACATTGATCACTTGTTGAACTCTAATTTCTAGCACTTTATCAATCATTATAGTTTCATCACATACCTCATCACCCTAAATACCAAATGTAGGCTACCAAACAAAATATTTCTTCCTTTAGTAAACACAAAATACTAAGCCCTACAACTAAATTCAAATGTTCTAGAGCCAAAACCAAGCATTTAAAACACTTGAGATGCTAGGAATCTACCCAAAACAACCTTCATTTTGGCCAATTAAAAATTTAATTACATTCTAGCTAACATCATTATTATTGGTACAAGATTTTCTACCTTTCCCAACAAAATATGGACTTGGTCAAGGTTCACCCTACTTTCATTGCCATTGAAATAACCACAATGCTTTTGCAACTTCTTTACATTTATGGTCCCTTTGCTTGCCCTTTAAAATACTTCACCGTAAAAATCTTACCTAATTCAAATATCAAACTTTGAGTTTTTCTAGTTCCACCAATGCATAACACATGTTAAAGAAAATCAAATCCTTTAATGTATGGATTTATATTTGATGCATTGCTAATATATTAATTCCATACATTATCAATGAACCAAATGTTGCCACCTCATTAATGAATAAATTTAGAAATTCTAAATCCTCAAAAATAAATACTCATTTTAAAAATATTTATTTTGAAAGCCTTTTGTACTTTTTAACTTTATACATTTATGAGGTGCATTCTATGATTAAGATAGTATATAAATACTATATATAGATAGTGTATCAAATATAAACTATTAATGCATTGAAAGTTGAGCTAGTCAACATCTTTGCCACATTAGCACCTATAAGTTGTTATCTCTACCACGTCAGCATCTACATGGCATATAGATGGTAAAAAAGGGCATTATAGACATTAATGTGACGTGCCATGTAAGTTGATGTTACATATCATGTAAGCCAATGTTACACACGATGTCAACGCCAACTCTATAAAATTTCATATTTTGCTATATAGATATGGATATGGCAAAGATAATGCCTGCTTAGACATGGACAAAAATACCAAATTTAATGGTTTTCATGCCAAATAAGGACTTAATTAAATAAAAATAACACTTTAAGGCTCAATTGGTATGATCAAAAAGATAAGAACTTTGTTGAAATAGATATCTTCATCTATCTTGCTCTCTTTTCTTTGAAATAGATATCTTCTATTAAATCACATCTCTTCATAGGGCATTTGTAGTTCTCTTCTTTATGTGTCCAAACCACGTTAAGTATATTTCTTCACTTGGTCCATCATAACTAAAACCCCCAACTTTTCCTTTATGCACTCATTCAAAGCTTCTTCATGCATGGCCTATAACTTTCCTTCAAGGTTCCATGAAATTTTGTACTAGTAACTATTAGACCAAAAAGTTAAAAGACACTAGAAAAGTAAACACATAGTATCTTAAAAACCTTTAAACTATTCAAAAAAAATTTAAATAAATTTTTATTCTTTTATTCCATTCGATCAAATTCTTATACTTTTATTTTGAATTAAACAAACACTTATACCTTTATTTTAAGTCAAATAATTAATTATAATTAATGATAGACTTAATCAAAATACTATTTATCATTTGATGTCACATGACACTAACATGACATATTAACATTTTACAATGGATGATAACGTAGCATACTGATGTGACATGATAACATGACCATGTAATATTTTTCACCATCCACATAAATGTCACAAAAGTATAAAATTATAAATAACGTTTTAACAAATTACAGTTAATTAATCATTAATCATAAAAATTTATTCGATTCAGAATAAAAATACAAAGACCTAATTAAACGCAATAGAAAAATAAACACTTATTTGAATATTTTTTGAATAAGTCCGAGGCTCTTTCAAACATCATGTTAAAAAAAATTAGGCAATACCAATTGGACATTTTGATGACTTAACACCACCATGTAGGCTCATCAAGTTCCTACCAAACATAACAATCTAATCACCGACAGTAAATCACCATGAATTTTAAAGAGATCACTTCATACTAAATACTAAGTCATTTCATTTTCAATAAGGCCTTACACAATGTAAAGGCAAATAAGTTTAAATTCAAAAATAAATGACCAAAAGAAAGACTCGAATGGGATAAATTTAAAATTGTTAATTAAAAAAGGACTTAATGAATTAGATGTAGCAAAAATTTAAGAAAATGGAAGGATGGAAGATTTGATGTGGCAATATTGTTCTTTCTTAACTCGAACTGACACATCTTAATTTAAAATTCAATGTTTTTAAGCCATTTTCCTTAAAACCAACATGCCATTATGCATATAACAATAAAAACCACAATGTTTGTATTGCACATGAATATACCTTGCATCTAAACCATGCACCACGATAACCAGCCAAAAAAGATCTTGTCTCGACCTGTTGACCAACTTCAAATGGAAGACTACAAGGATCCATTATAGCACATTAACGAGAATAGAGCTACAATGTAAATACTTCCAACATTAGAAGCAACTTCAACATTAAGGTATAAATAGAACTTTTTGAGTTACTACAAGAAAGTGATTAAAATATTCCATATTAAGAATAGTCTCTAAATTCGAGACCATTTGGAATAATAGTCAATAGCAAAAGATTGATGTTGCTCTTTTAAATTATGTCCAATACCTAAAATTTTCTAATTCTTTCAAATTAATGTCTAATATGCAATTAGGGTGCATAAAAGCACCTTATTAGACATTTAAACTAGAGGAATGGAGGGGAAAGAAAAGTTTTTCTTGTGGATAAGGAAAGGAAAAGGGAAAACCATTTCTTTCCCTTGAAATCAATTTATTCAACCTTTTCAAATTGGATTGAATGAAAGGTAAGGAAAGCCTTGATTCGTGAATAAGTTACCATTTATATCTATTACAAAATAGTCATAAGGCTTTCCTTGATTTGTGAAAAATTTGTGAAGAAATAACTAAATGAAGACAAAAGGAGAATAATTTCCCAACTTGCTTGGATGACAAAGAAAAATGTTCTCTCAAAGATATACTAAACAAAAGTACACCTAAAGCTATATTTTTTAACAACCCAACATAAGCGCCAACCATTATGGATACTTGTATCTCACAAACTCAAAGAAATCTTTTGGCATTTCAAAAATCAACAAAGAAGGCTCTACTATCCATTAAGTAGACTCAACCACTCCTTTCCTTGTTGCCATCCATTAAGTTGACTCAAACAATCCTTTCCTTGTTCCCATCCATTTAAGTCAATTGAACCACTCCTTTACCTATTGCTATTAACGTTCTCCCCCACCTTCTTGTATCTTGTGTCCTATAAGTACCTCATCTTGGTGCTAAGTTTCAAGAAACCCATTTGCACTCAACCCTCCTTATAAACAACGACAATAACCTCCTTTTTCTAAACCTCATCCAAGCATTGCAAAAAAACAACCAAGAAGACTCCACCTTCCATTAGGCACACTAAACTTCTTTCCTTGCTACCATTAGCATTCTCCCTCGCCTTCTTATTTCTTGTGTCCCACAAGTACCCCATCCTATGCTAGTCTTAAGCAACCCAATTTGCACACAATCCACCCCATTAATGATGACGATTGTCTACACCTTACTAATCTCATCCATTGTCTCCATTCTCCACCTATCACCCTTCGATATCAAAATTCAAGTTTAAAATTTCCAAGTTAAGATCTCAAGTTCTAAGTGTAAAAGTACACTAGTGAAGACTCATGTACTTTTTGTCGATTACACATTTGGGAGCTTCATCAATGTGTCAATAAATCCACAAATTCCATGAGAAGGGAAATGGCAAAATGTTAGAATCTTACTAGCAACATTAGATTCAAAATTTTGCCTTCCTTCTAATTTCTTTTAAGGAAAAGTATGAAAAAAATTTCTTATATTTGCCTTGATTACTAGTTCTTATCTCTTTTTCTATCAATTAAAAACAAAAAAATAAATTCGAAGATTTTATTTTCCTCTATAAGATATTGTTTGCTTTAACTTATTAGTTTCACAATTTTGTCTCACAAAACACGTCTCACAAGTTGAAAATGATATGAACATAACCAATGAAGAATTCATAGCTCATCAATAAAACCATGATATCTTTCTTTAGCTCCTCACTAGGAGCTTCTCTTCAATGTTGATGCTGAATTTATAGCTTCCTGTTAAGACCATATATCTTCTAATATGCACGATTCAAGACTCTCCACTAGAAATGTGACACCCTTTTCCATCGCCGACCCTTGCTGCCCAACCTGAGAATAAACAGCTAATGTATTCCACTTATTAAACAGAGTTTTATGGTCGATCCAAAACCCCTGGATATTTATAGCATCCTTGGGGTGATCTCATAATTCCTACGAGATAGAAGATGATGGGGTTAATCCATGAATTTTCCTTCCTTTTATCGCATTTCACTCAAAGGATCTTGATCCTCCTCCCCAAGGATCCCAAATGGGGAACTTCATTATTCTAGTCTAAAAAAATCTAATTCATCTAACATCAACCAATTATTATTCTATATTTCTATATTATATATAAAATTTTTAAACTCTAAAAATATATAAAATTTCAAAATTTTAATATCTTTATTAAATTAAAACTAATAAAAATATATAAATGAATTTTATAAACTCAATTATAAAATTTAAAACCTCCATTACTGATATATAAAACAATAATAATTTATTTACACTTCCAAGCAAAGTAATAGAAAATATATCATCTACTCTCAAATTGAGATTTATTGGGTAAAAGCTTTAAAGTAATAGGAAATTTTTGAAAGCATTTTGTGATACAAGAGTTTAGACATTGTCAAATGTAAAGCCTTAAAACCAAATAATAATAATAATTCTAATAATATCAAGAGAGGGTAAATAAAAGATAACAAACAATTCCTTCCTCTTGACTCTTGACTATTAGAGTTTTAAAAAATAAAACAAAATAAAAAATAGAAAAGAAAAAGAAGAAGAAGGGGAGGCAAGGAGAAGAGAGAGAAGCAAATGAAAACCTACCTTTATAACCTCCTGATGTTTCGGCAGCCTCTTCAATCAACCGATTGGAGAACACCAAATTCTAGGTTTTATGTTAAAAAACAAAATGGCGTTTCGAGTTTTGCGATTCAGATCTGGGACTTCTTCAATATTTCTGCAATGAAGTACTGCGAGCTGGCTGAATCCGTCTCTCTGGCAGCTGAGGAGTAAATTGAAGCCGTTGAATCGATGGACCGGAGGCGTTTTCAGAGTTCTCGAGAATAATCTTTGCTTGTTTTGGAATGGAAAGCCTCTTTTCTATTTGCTTTTTCCCTTTTTTTATTCCGGCGCCGTCAATTCCAGCCAAAAATTGTGACTTCCTATCCAAACAAAGTGAAAAATGGAAAAGCTATCATCCAAACCCAGATTAAGAAACTGAATATAGAGATTGAGGAGGAGAAAAACAGTGAAGGATTTCATCTACCTCAAAAAATCCAGCCCTTATATTTAAATTTTTTACGGCAAAGCCAGCTACTTTGGCGGTAGCAACGAGATATGAGCCCAAAATTTTTGGTAAAAATATTTTGAAAATTTTAGGTGAGAGTTTGCTTGCTACAAAAGTATTCATGAAATATATTTCCAGCAGTTTGAAATTTACTATTTGTTTAGATTAATTATTGAGTTTGTTTAATTTTATTTTTTAATTAAATTATAAAATTAAAATCATTTATAAATAAGTAATAAATTTGATTCAAAATGATAATTAAAATAATAAATAATTTTTATGATTGAAAATATTCATTTAAAGAGATGTGAGAATAATAAATTTATATTTTATTTCAGAATTTTAAAATAAAATTATATTATTATTTAAAAATTTATAATTAATAATGAAGTGCGGGGAAAGTTGTTTTTGTAATTAAATTTATTATTTTTATTTTAAATTGAATATTTATTTATAAATTATAAAAAATCTTATCTAAAAATATTTTATAATTTAATTTTAAATTTTTTTTTTACAATATATAATTTTTAAATTGAGAAGTGTTAATAAATGTTTGCTAAAACTATTAAGGCAACATTTATAGGGAAAACTACAATTAAGATATACTATATTTAAAAAAATTATGAGAATAATATATTAAATAAATTTTTTTTAAAATAATAATTTAATTATTTTTATTCAATGGATGTGAACCTTCATTATCTAAACTCATAAAATATTTAAGGAAATAAATTTTACTCTTAGATTCCTTTTTGTCTTGTTTTTTTTTTTCTTCCCTAACAAGTAACGGTCATATGTTATTATTAAAGATAATAAATAAGTTGTCAATTTTAGACAAGTTAAGAAAGTCTTTATCTTCAACTTAATTAGATTAAATAACTAAATTAAATATTGATATTTTGTTTTAAAATGTATCCAAACTCTTGTATTACAAATAGATTTCAATATAATGCTACAATTAATAGGTTTTAATATAATGTCAATTAATGTTTTAACTTACATTCACATTAAACTCACATCTCTCAAAATTTTCATATTAAGAACACATTCAAATCCTTTTTAGTTGAGCATAACTTAATATGTTAGATTGATGAAACTTTACCATGTTCACATATAATGATATTTTAAAAAGACACCAATCCACTTATAATGTTGTCATATCGAGCCTTTGATCACTAAAAGTAGATGTGATCAATTGTTTTTGCATGATATTTAACTATTTAGTTCATTGATTAATGTATAATTTTTTATTTAAAAAATAAAGTTTGAATCCCCTTCCTCCAAATCTAAAAAAAAAAATATTTGTATGATTTTTTTTTTATATATATAACAAAAGAGAGTTGACTCTTTTTTTTTGTTTTTAATGAAACAACCTTTGACCCATAAAACAAAATCATAAAACTCAATGCAAATAAATCAAGATCAAGGATGATAAACCTCAACAAGAAGCTTTCTAAACCTAAAGACCCAAAGGCAATCTCAAAATATTTTCAACAACTCAAAAGCAATACAAATGAGTTTGCACTTGTTAACTTTTTAATAAATGAGGAAGAATTGATCATTCATGCTCTTAATGTTATCGGACTTGAATTTAAAGAAATCACAATCAAAATAAAAGCTAGACACGAGAAAAGGAAGTCTAGTAAACTTGATAATGGCTATTTCATTATGAAATCAAATCTTGTTATTAGTTGACATTTTGATTAATTATATTTATTTGATTAATTTTATTATCATGATTAAATTTTTGCCTACCAATGAATTATAAGTGTACATTGATAAAATATTAAAGTAAAAAATCATACATATGTATCAAAAAGAAAGGAAATGAAATCACACAAGCTAATAAGCTTACACAAGCAGCATGAGTGCATGACCTAACTCAATCTTCCCATCCACTTAAGGGTGACCTAATTGGCAAATTCCCAGTTCCAAACTTCAAAGCCTTTAATTAATCGTAAAGTAAAAAAAAAAAAAAAAAAGGGACAATCAACAATCGTGACTGACCCAAACACAACTCAACCACAAAACTAATAAAAAGCCCACACACAAAAGAAGCCCAAAATCCCTTTTGCGGCTTCCACCTCCCCCGAGCCAAACCCTAAAATGGAAAAGACCAAAGAAAACAGGGAGAAATCTCACATAATAAAGAAAAAATAGGAGAGGAACCCTAAATAAAAATTAAAAAAAAGTAATAATGAAAATAAAAAAAATGGCAGAGGAAAGTGGACCCCACAAAGTGTTTAGCCAATCAACAAGTTTTAAGGCACCCAAAACGAACTCAAGGCATAGAGGCAGCCACCCCTTTGTAACTTTGTTTCAGCTCCCCAACATTTGTCACCGACCTAATATATATAAAACCCCGTTTCTTTATTTTATTTTCTCTCTTTGCCCCTCAAATAGTTATTTTTTGTTTCTCATCCCACGCAATTGTGCTTTTTTATTTAATTAAAAATAATTAATTGATTAAGGGTTGGGGCGAGCAAGCAAGCAAGCGAAACGACCCTTGTTGTGTGTGTTGTTTTTTCCATATCTCCTCCTCCTCCTCCTCCTCACGGACACACCATTATTTTTAAAAAAGGGGAAAAAATTTAGTAAATATCGAAATTGAATTAAAATTTAAGAATTTACTATAATAAATAAAAATTTTATTTTTTCTGGGTTCTTTCTCCGTCGTTTGCTCTTCTTTCTTTCCCTCTCTCTTAGCTGCTTCCTTTTTTGCTCTTTTGCTCTCTTTCTTTCTCTCTCTAGAATCTCAAAGAGTGCTGCCATAACCCCATTTGAACCCAAAAAAAATAAGAAAAACTCTATTGACTCTTACATTCCAGGTTCGTTTTCACCATTCGATCTATACGATGTCGTCAGAATCGTTTTATTTTATTTATATATTGGGTTTTTGTTTTTTTTAGGGTTTGATTTTGATCGGGGTTTGGGGGTTTTCAATCCGGAGATCTTTGTTATTTATTTAGGAGTTTAATTGGGCTTGTGGTTCGTGCAATTGGGTTTTAATCAGATGATTTTTTTTTTTAATTTGGGTCTCATGGATTGTTTATAAGATTCCGTTTGGTTTATTTTTCTGCTAGATTATTGATTTGGTTAGGAGTTTTGATTAGGGTTTTATTGATTATGGTATCATATTGGTGGTTTTTGGTTTTGACTGATTGTGGTCGATGAATTTGTCTAATTAATTAATGATAGATTTTTTTTTTAATTTTAATATGGTTTTTAAGTTAATTTTTGACGTTCAGAAAAATTGGGTGTCAATAGCATATGAACCTAAAAATCGTGCCTGTATCAGCTAGTTTTTGGGTAATATTAATCGTTAAAGGCCGCAGAAATTTTGATGTAATTGTAGTTTTAATTTTTGGGTTTTGGATACTTGGGTGAAAAACAATTTAATAGAGGGTATTCTATAATTTTGAACCTCGGTTTAGGAGTTAATTTTGAGTGGGTTCGTATCTGGATTTTATATTTTGTAGCAAGTGGAGCTGAAGGAGTGTGGCGAGGAGTTTTGAAGTGGGAAAATGGCTGGGGTTGCAAGTGAGGAGTCTGGAGTGGGAAGGTCTGTGGAGGGGATTTCAAGTGGGCAACGTTGCCAATCAGGGGAAGCATTGGCAGAATGGCGGTCTTCTGAGCAGGTGGAAAATGGAACACCTTCAACCTCACCCCCTTATTGGGACTCTGATGACGATGATGATGGTGGTATGCTTTTGGATCCCTTTCATGTTTGGTTGAATGCTTTTTATTCTTTTGATATTTGTTTGTATGCTGTCTGTTATTTCTCAACCATTATAAGGTCTGTTGAAGCTCTAGGTTGAATCCTTTATATATTAAATCCAGTATAATGCGACGGAGGGGTTCTCTAATGTTTAGAAATTATTTATAATCATAGTTGTAATTGGTGGATTTGGTTGTTGAAGCTGTTATAAATGGTATAAATGGAGCCACTGTTGTCCTGAGATTAATTTTAGCGTAGATGGTTTTGACTTGTTTATTGTCGTTTTCTTGTGAAGCTATGTTTTTGAAGCTCTACCTTACTGATTTATGGCAGCGAAGTACTAATTTCTGGTTCTCATTGCACATTCACCTCTTAAAATTTAGATTAAGAAAATATTTTCTCTAACTATCCTGTTTCCTTCATCTCCAGTTCCTGTACATTGCAAGTTGACTAATTGGATGAAAATGAGGGATTTGTTTGGAATGCTTTGTCTGTGGACACATAGAACTTGAAGACTCATGATATCTAGTCAAGCAATTGGGTTTTTAGGGCTCAGGAATTATTTACTTTAGATTTCTTTGTTCTTTTAAATGTTATCTGCAGTGTTGTTGAGGTGTGCGCCTAGCTGCTAAGGCATGGTGCCAGACAACAAAAGTTCCTCACCCTTTTGGGTGAGGTTCAGTTGATCAGGCACACGCGTCGTGCCTAGGTGTGCTTTTTCCTTAGGTGATAGGCACCAAAAAGCCTGCCTGATTGATATTCTCTTTCATTTTAATTTTTCAGTTAGCTGTACCTCTAATAGTAAAAAAAGGGACAGTATCAAACACTCTACTTATCAAAGTTTGAGTATTCAACATCGAACTTGGGACCATAAAGATATCATGCATACTGGCCAAAAAAGGAAAAGGAAATTTTGCATGTTTTGTAGGATAAAAATAGATCACTCTTTAGAGTTTATTATCAAAATTATATATCTTAAGCTTATTTACATACGCGCGCACACACACACACACATTGTGCCTTACTTCACTCAGGCGAGCACCTTTTTTGCGCATTGCACCTCAGGCAATTTAAGGTTTCTTGTGCCTAGAGTGTACCTTGCACCTTGATAACACTAGTCATCTGTAGTTCTATAAGTAGTTATTTACTTTAGATTTTTTTAAAATGTCATCTGGTGTTCTACAAAGTGTTAGTGACTGGAAACTGTTTCCTCCTGATGCATAATGCCATGGAAGAAATATATAACATGAGAGTTGAGTAGGCTAGCTTGCTAATAGGTGATGCTTGCTCTGAACTATCTGAGTCTACTGAAAGCACAGATTAAGCTGGGCTAGGGAATACTTACCAAGAAGTTTTCTCAACTAGTACTTTTTTGATATTAACATTTTAAGTATAGTGTTTGGAATTTTT